GAGACAGGCTCTCACTATGTAGTTGAGACTGGACTGGAACTCACTGTGTAGCCCAGGCTGGTCTCAAACTCACAACAATCCTCCTGCCTCAGCCTCCCAAGTGCTGGGATTACATGGTGTGCCACCATGCCCAGTTTAAGATGTCTTTTTGGTGAGACCTATGATCTTAACACACATAGTGAGATAAGGACTGTCCAAAGCAGGGGACAAGGTCTGAGACCACTGTACAGAGCAAGGACTACTTATCCTATTAAAAATTTAGAGCAAGGTAGCTCACTGGTCCAGCAAAGCTGGGAATAGCATCCTGATTTTTCACTTCTGTGAGGGTGCCAAATTAAAAAATTAATATATACCGTGATAGAGAAATTGAATTCCAGCGGAGAGAAATAAGAGTGTTCTCCAAAGATGACCAGAGGTTATGTGTGATCCCACAGAAATAACCCTGCTGAGTATAAAAAAATTACAGAGAACATGGTTAAACAAAATCACCATGAGGAATCAGAAGATACACCAAGAGAATCAAATCCACAAGAACTGGAGATAATAGAACAATCTGAAACAGATATTATAATTAGTATATTTATTATTTTGGGCTGGGGATTTAGCTCAGTGTTTCCGGTGCCTACCTCACAAGTGCAAGGCCCTGAGTTTGATCCTTGGTACCCCCCCAAAAAAAAGCAAGTATATTTAATATTTTTAAGGATTTAAAGCAAGAAACAAAAGCCCAAAAGAGAAGAAAGAAAGTATGAAAAATGAATCGGGTAATTGAAAAAGAACTAAGCAGAACCTCTGGAAATAGGATACAGAGACAGCAGAATCAAAATTCAATAATTAGTTTCAATGGCAAATTAGAAATAGTCAAGCAGAACATTAGTGAACTGGAACATTTGATTTCAGAAAATTATTCACAATATAGTATAAAGAGAAGAGATATAGTATAAAGAGAAGAGAGTACAAAGAAAGAAGAAAAAGAGAAAGAAAGAAAGAAAAAAAAAGAGGGCACTTCAGGGCCTGTCTCTGCAGTCACCAGTAGACAACATGGGCAGCAGCGTGCAGATCGAAGCTGTAGTCCACTGAGATTCTGGCTTGTTTCTGGCTGAAAGGCCTGAGTTGAGCTCCCTGATCTCCTGAAGCATTGAACTCTGCAAGGTTCTCCTGAAGGTTCGAGCCACCCTTCCCTCAAAGCAAGTCTGGGTTCCTGTAGGGGTTGCTGATCCCACCAACTCACCGACTGCTATAGTCCTCAGACTTTCTTTCCTGTCCCAGTGGGCTTCAATTTTTGTCAACAAGTCTCAGAAGGCTCTCTCATTTCTGTTCACAGCTGCTCTATCTTCTTGAATTCATAACAATGGCCTTTATGGTCCCTGATGCCTCTACCACCCTATGTGGATCCCTGCAAGGTCCCAGGTGAGTCTAGCTAGGGCAGGCCTCCTCAGAGCATGGTCCAGTGCAGGGGCCTACAAATTTTTCAAGAAGGTGATTTGGAAAAAGAGAGACTCAAACATGTATAGTCATTAAGTTTTCTGAAACGGTTGCAGGATTAATTTTAAAAGTAAGACAAATCTCAGCTTCAGAGCATGTAAAGAACCACTTAAGATGTCTCATGGGCATTAAAGTCAGTTATGTTATCAGAATGATTAAGGTTTTATCCATAAAGTAATTTATGTTGGTAGGAAAAATGAATTGCAGTGAGGTTTGATTGCAATGAAATCTACCTTAATTAAAACTCACTGAGAGCTACAGAGAGGGATGGTTTGTTTAGAATTAATCACACTGTAATGAAGTACGTTTGGTGGAGGACTCACTTGGTAAAGGACACAAGGATATTATAGATTTTGAATCATTGAGCAAATAGTTTTTGAGCTCTTGCAAACTGCTACACACACAAGTAGTGATGAATGAGATAATAAAGTTCCTAGCCTCCTGTGCAGGAGGGAGTAAGGCAAACACATTCAGGACTATCTTTGTAAAGAAAAGCAAATGCTTTGAAGGCAGGGAAGGTGCAATAATAGAGAACCACATGGGAGGCTGGCTTCCCATTTCATGGCTGGGGCAGGTCTCTTCAGGAGAGTCATACATTTAGGCTGGAACCTGAAGGATGAGGAGGCAGCCAGTCCAAGGGTGTCAGTGACCCTGGAGCACAGGGAAAGCAGGGTTTGGCATGGGGAAGAGCAGGTGTGTTTGGTGAACCGAGAAAAGGTCAGTGTGGCTGGAATGTTTGAGTGAGTGGACTTTTTTTTTAAAATGTCTGGCAATAAATCAAGGCAGTCAGATGGTTTAGGAGAAGAATTGGAGGACAAGAGGTAAATCATAGTTAACTTAAAGCTCAATTCAAGAGCCCAGACTTATATATTAAAATGCTGGCTCTTTGTTCGACATTGTTTTTCCTCCCCCTGTAAATTTTGCCTACACTCTTATCTGCCATTGGATCAGGGAAACAGTTAAATACTTTCTCTGGGTAAGCATTAGAAGATTATCAGAAAGTGAAAATGCTTTCTCTGGTTAATCTTGTTCAGTCATCTGATCATGGGAGAACATTTTGTGTCGCACAGTAATTTGCATGCTAGTCACTTCTGGCTTGGATTATTTTATATTCACAACAGCTAATGAGATAGTTTGTGTGCTTGAAAGAGCAAGGTGGGAAAATCTGTTACAATTTTATAATTGACTCTTGGTTCTTTTGTAGGTCTTTTTATTTAAGTAGTGTTATTTAAAAATTATATATCACAGATTTTTATTTATGAAGACCTGTCTGATTTTTCTAATTATTTTGAATCTTTAATTTAAAAATGCTGTGTGGGAAGAGGATCTGGGGATGAGGGGAGAAAGGAGGGTGGGGAGAAGGGGAAATAAAAATAATTAAGATTCAATAAATATGTGATATATAACAATTCCCCAAAATGAATTTTATTATCATGTATGGAAAATACAGAGCCTGCCAAAAAATGTATGCACACTTCAGGAAAAGTAAAATAGTATGATTTTTTTTTTCAGCAGATGGTGTTACTCTTCTGCATCCTAGAGGATGTACCACTAGGCTTCTGGCCCTTAGAGAAGAAATTGAAAATGCATGTGCTGCAATCTGTCTCTCGTTCTCCTTTTTTTTGGCACTAGGGATCGAACTTGGTACCTTGCACTTGCTATGCAGGTGGTGGAACCACTGAGCTAAATTCCTGGCCCAGGTGCAGCAATCTCAGTTTGTCATACTCATAAACATGTGGAAGCTCATGGCCACCATGGCAAACACCTCTTGTAATTGTAGAGACCAGAGGCAGCTTATATTAATCTCATGATATCTCAATAACTTTAGTATTAAAATATTTATATAGGTTTTTCTTTTCCTGAAGTGTGAATACACTTTTTTGGTGGAGTATGTGTACTAAAGAAAAAGAAAGAAAAAAATAAAATGTTGCACAATCGTTCAAGCCAAGCTATTATATTTTGTATTACTCTGCCTGTCTTTACTGTCATCAAATTCATTTGACCAAAGGATTATTTTTCTTAATTTCCAACGCTTACCCTTTGTTTAGTTTTGGTGTGTTTTCTTCTGATGAGGTAGTTTTCATTATTTCCAGAACATTCATTAGGCATACATGGTAGAGCCCACTTAGAGACCACTATGGTGTGGCTCAGTGGAAATAGCTTTTGGACACACAGGTATGAGAATTCCAACCCCAGTGGTTATTCAAACATAAGATCTTTGGTTAGTTACATAAATTTCAAATCTTAGTTTTGTTACCTGTAAAATGGTGATGAAAATATCTCCCTTGTAGGGCTGGCAGGATTAAATAATTCTATTTACCTATCATCTGTCTGTCTGTCTGTCTGTCTGTCATCTATCATCTATCATCTACCTATAGCACAGTATAGTGGCTACTATTTAGTGAATGCTCAGCTGTGAGTGTGGTCTTTGCAGACCAAGTAGGACTTAGAATTGTATTTAAAATAAGAGAAATAGATTTACACTGGTTCTTCTATGTTATTTTACTGTGTTGCTTTGTGTCCAAGGACATTCATTTCTCCCTTGGGCTAGAAGTAAAGGCTTCTGAAAAGAACAAGTTTGATAGTGGCCAGCAGGAAGAAGCAGAAAGCCACAATCCTTTATCAGAAGGCTCTGCAGCTGGATTGGACTGCTAAGGGAATTCCAGAAAAGCATTTAAACTAAAGGCCACCAATTTTGGAGGAGAAACTGTAGTTGGGTGCTAAAAAGCACAGCACGGTGATATAGATTAAAAAAAAAAAACCCAGGTTATTTATTTAAAAATATTGATTGAGAAATTTTTAAGGGTCAGGTAATGTACTAAACACTGGGTTCACCAAAGTGGGGAGCTGGGCCCCAGGAACTTATGATGTAGAGAGGGAGCCCCCTAATGATGACTCACAGTGTTCCAGGTGCTTTTATCATGGAGCTAAGCCAGGGAAGAGAGCAGCTACCTGAGTATGTGAAGGACAGAGTCCAAGAAAGCCACACTTGAGCCAAGAATGAAATGACAATTTTAGCAATCAGTGAACAGGAAGGTAAACTGTGGATCAAATGGTTAAGAATGGCTTCTGAATGACTCTTGCTTCTGGTCCTCAAAGAGGGAAAAGACCAAAGCAGGCAAGGCAATGAGGCCTCTCTGGAGGACCTTGCGTTGCTCAGAGAGCAGAGTTGCTGCTTGATCCATCAGGAATGAAACCTTGACCTGGCCCTCATTGACTTAAAACATTGTTTAAATGATGCCAATGACGTGAAATAGTTAATCTGCAAACATCTACTGGGTGGAGCTGAAAGCAGGATAAGATTTGCCTACAGAGAAATAAAAATTTCTGCCATGTTATGGGATGGAAGAAATGGCAATGAACTACTTTCTTTTTTACTCTAGAAATTCTCATGGACTGATGTGTTTGGGAACATTTTTGACACTTGGCTAAGTATTCTAAAACTTAACTGGAAGTCTCCTCCCAGTTGGCAGTGGTGGGGAGCCTTGAGGTATAGGAAATTCATTTATTCTGTTCTCCTTTCTCAGCAATGTTTGGCTGTGCAGATGTGGCACACAAATGCTCTCCAGCTGTGGATGTGCAAGAAGGCATATAATCCACCTGTGGGATATGGAGGCTCTGTCATAAGTTTAGTTCTGGGTTTTTTCATTCTATTCAACTTTTCTTTAAAATGCATTCTAAGGAAACTCATTTTTGTGATCATCTGGGGAAAGGTGCAGCTGAGAAGGTAATGGTATTTACTAGGAACCAGAGGTAGTTCCCATTTTCTTTGGAGCTAAGGCTTGACAGGTTGATTTCCTAGTAAGAGCTCACTTGGCAATGAACAGTAACACTAACTTGGTTTATATTGTGATTTCAGAATTATGACATTCCATACTTTTTCTTTGCCTTCTTTCCTTTCCCTACCCTTCCCACTTCCCCTACTCCTTTTGCCTTTTTTCTTCCTATTTTACATTATCAATTATACAATTTGAACCTTATTTACACTTTTAGTGTAAAGAAAAAAGAGAAAAGGAAAAAATGGAAACAAAGTTTTTATAAATAGGGAAGGGTGGAGGGGGTGAAGAGAGGACAGGGCTATGGGAAAAAATAAGAACCAAGATATATCATGTAAAGGTACCAGATACCAATGATGAATGTAATTGTACTGTATTCCTAAAAAAGTACCAATAAATTTAATGAAAAATAAAAAAAGAATTACCACATTCCAAAATTTTCTCAAGTATCATAATTCTGGGAAAGTGAGGATTTGCATAGGAAATAGTTTTATTTCTTGCTATAATTTATTCCTACCTACAGTTCTGATAGCTTCCTATTCCTGCATTTTATAGATATCACCAGTTAAGTCAGTAAAAAATCTGCAAATTATAAAGTAATGCAGAAGGTATTCACAAATTAAAGTAAAATTTGTAAACATAAAAAGCGAAGGGCTTTAAAAGTCACCATTTGTTGTATAGAGAAGTCTATTTTCTGGCTTATTGTTTTAAGGCATTGAGTTTTGGGGTGATTTGTTTTATAAAAGATAATGGAAACAAGGGATTAAGTAGCGCCTGGTTCATGATGGATAGCTGTTTCTTGGTCAACCATTTCATCTCAGCTGAGCCTGATAACATGCTGGAAGCGGTTTCTTTAAAGGTGAAATTTAGAAGCTATCACAAGAGGAGGACCTTTGGTGTCTGTGCTGTGATTCTCTTATGGTGGCTTTCCAATCTTCATGCCCACCTCCTTATTTACTGCAGACACTTGGAGTTTTCTTGTATTTAGTGGTCTTGAGGAGCTCATGGCATGTGGAGTTCATCCAAGCTAGGTCTTCTGCAGAGATTTTCCCAGCTCTGGCCCCAACCCTACCAGCTGCCTTAAGAATATTAGTCAGAGCCACACCTTCTTGTAGCCTGGGCCCCGATCCACCACAGAAAGGAGAGCCA